CTATCTGATGCTCTCAGCTAAGTTAAGCTTACGTGGAAAACAAAATCAAGCTGAAAAAAAGTTTTCATGTGTTACTCAGCTAGTGATTGTACAGTGTGTGTCAGAGATTCAAAAGATCTCCTGTTGGAGCACAGACTAGTGCTCAAACAGTAGTTCTTTTGAATCCCTATGAAACATTGGAGAATCTATTCATGAAAGGCAACATCAGAAAGGCTTTTTTTTTTTAAAGCCATGGTTTCCTGAAGCTTGGCGGAGTTAACCATTTAGGTACCACATGGGTGTTTAGGTACCACATGGGTACCACATCTCATGGAGATGCTGTGTGTTTTTGGGGGGGGTTGGAGCAGGTTGCTCTTGGCCTCTGGAAGGGTAAAATGATCTACAGACTCCTCGGAGCGCCGTGGTGTTCACGAGCCCGTCCCTGTTATGCTGTAGTTCACAGATCAAGCTCACCTGAAGGGTGATTTTTCTCCCAGCCACCCCTCTCTCTCTCTGGACACTTGTTTTCTGTAGAACTTGCTGACTTTTGTTCTTGTTGGAAACAGGATGCTGAGTCACACCCTGGCAAGAGAGGCTGCTTCTTGCATTTGCGTGCTGGGACAATAGGGAAGAGTTGGGGAAGCAGCCGTGTCTTGACCTCAGGGAATGGATATGGCTTAGTCCAAGATATTGATATAAATAGCTCTGGGCCTTTTCTACCCCGAGGCGGAGCTGCTGCTGGGGTTTTTCTGTAAAGTCTGGACAGGGAGATTTATTGTTGCCTACAGGAACGTTGTCTAAAGAGGCAGGCCTAACCGTTTTTTGGCCGGCCTGCAAGCGAATCGGTCATTTCTATCCCTCAAGCTTAAACCGTGACCCACATATTCAGACTCTGGGTAGCAAGCCAGAATACCCGGCTTGGGTTAAGAGTAGTGTCGATTTCTCAAAGATGAAGAAAATCGCCCCTTTTCAGAATTTCAAAATGTCACCCCCCCCCCCCCCCCAGAAAAAAAGGTTTTGTCTACTTTCTCTGAGGGGGGGTGGTTTTATTTGTTTAAAAAAAGCTAAATGTCTTTGAGGAAAAGCGCGGGCTAAAGGCCTGGAAGTAAATCTGCGAGAGGACCGCTGTTTCCAGCAGAGCTCATTTTATAAATCATGGTGGTCAGGCTGATGTAGTAAAAAAAAAAACCCAACAACCTAGGATTGGAGTACAGAAGTTCTCGGGGTAACTAACCACATTATTCATGGTGCGCAACAAAGACATGGACTAAGTGATTGTGGATGCAAATATCACAATTCTGCGTTCGATATCACAGGAGTAAATGCAGGTCTGATTAGGGTCTGAAAACCCCTGGCAGGTGCAGTTTTGGGGCCAGGCTGTTTGGCAGCAGCCTTCTCTGTCAGGGCACTGGGCACATGTGGAAACGGACTGGTCCTCTGTGGGGGTGGGCGTCACTGCGGGTCTATTTTGACAAGCACAGGTCCCAGAGCACGTGAGTGGGGAAAGCAGGCCGAGCAGCAGCTGGCAGACTTAACGTTTGGGTGCAAATTCTCTTAATTAATACTCTAAGTAACAGTTAGCCTCTATACAAGCTTACTTTAGAGACCGCAAAAATATGCCTTTATAGACGGATGTTCGAAATAAGTTTTCTCAGCTCCATATTGTTCTCTGACCCGCATAGGAAGTTCTGTTCTCTGCCCTCAGAAAGATGTGCTATTTATCACTGTCATTCACGCCCCTCATATGCCCTTCAGAACTGCAGATTGAGAGCAGTGCGGCTCTGGAATGGTGGAAAGTGGCTTCACTTCACAGGCATGTACAGAGCACTGAGGCGGGTGGGCAGGACCCTGCGATGTGTCCACTTGGGAGGTATTGAGATCCACCACACCCGTCATGAAGCCTCCTGGCAGAAAGGTAGCCTTCTAGACAGGAAAAGTCACCCTAATCTTAAAAAAAATAACATGAGGTTCTGCTTACAGAGTTGCATTTTCTCTTGTAAACGGAGCTTCTGCTTTCAGTATTCCTAATCCCTTGTACATTTCTCTAGATTTTCTGGGGAAGTGTGATTTTTTTTCAGGGGAATTGTTCATGAAATGTTAGTGAGCTCTGTGTGTAATGTCTTTCTTAACTAGGATTAAATCTTAGTTTTTTAATTATGAGAATACATCAGTGCCTTTTGTGTGCTTTAAAACTCCTGATTCCCTGTTCTTTATACTAATATCGCCTCTCCTTTGGTTTTCTTTTATTTTCTTTGTTCTGGTAACTTTTACAGATCAAGGAATGATTGCAAATTTAACTGTACAGTATGTGGTGTGAGTGTAGTAGGCACTGCCTATCACTTTGCCGTTGTATTGCAGGGTGCACAGAAGAAAGCACAGCAATGAAATATTTCCATGCCTCATTACTTCCTGTAGAAAGCTTCACGGAAACGGCAGGAGTGGCTGTAAATAGCAGACCGAAGTGCAGTAACTGTTTGTGGTTAATGGAGAAGCACAAACAGCAAGCACAGCAATGTGGGTCAGTAGTTAGGCATTTGATCACGGGTTCAAATCTCAGGTGAGGACACTTTGAGCAAAGTACATTGCCCAGGTGCTTCTACCTGTGCAAACATATGCGAAGCCAAAGCCAGGTGTAAAAACAGGTACGAAAAATGTTTTTTTTTTACGAAATTGGAAATTTGGGAGAGAGGGATAAGGAGTACCTCTTTCAAGTCCCAGATGGGACACTCCTGTTCTGCAGTTGAGAAAGATACTTCACTTGCATTGTTGATCTAGTAAAAGAAGCACTAGAGTACCTCAAGCTATATCCACAGGACTCTGGTATTGCACACATTCATAAAGCAAAGGCTGATTATTTTTGCAAGATTGTAGGACAGCAGAAAAAACCGTCAAGCACTTTTGGGAACAGTGAGATACATAACCTTTTAGCTAAGAGCAGCTCTGGCATGAATCAAAGGAATATCAGGAAAAAGACAGTGATGGTGATATTGATTTTTTTGTTTTGGTCTCTTGGTTTTGATTTATTGTAGTGCCTTGTTCTGCATGACCCCCTTTAGTTTCACCCTGATTTAATTTAGCTTTATCCATACATTGGCATACTGTAGTCATCTGCCTGACCAAATAGTTTGTTCTTGGAGAAAGCCTGCCAGGAATAAGTCCCCTGTGAAACCCAGGCCTCCTGAAATTATAAACGTTTTTGCTCTTTGAAAATCGCAGGTGTTGGTGCTGTCTTTCCGTCTCCTGTTTCCGCATTGAGTTGAAACCCAGGGCTCTGCGCAGAGCAGGGCAGCGATTTTAAAGATTGCAGTGTAGCACAAGGTCAGCGAGCTCCCAGCGGAGCTGAGCTCTGCGCGCCTCTGTTGTGAGATGAAGGAGATGTAGTCATTTTTCTGTCAGTCGATCCCGGCTTGAAATCCTCCTTCAAGTTGGAAATTCAGGGACGTGCTCACCTCAATGGCTTCTGGCGTCGCAGTCCCCAAAAAGAGCGGGCTTCTGGGGCAGTTGTACATCAGCAGAACTGAAAACATCTTTTAAAAAAAAAATACAGGAGCTGATTTTCCATTAACGAGTTTGAGAAATCACGATCTCAACAGTTGTAAATAGCTTTGTGTCAGTGTTTTGAAAACGGGGCCTAGTGAGAGTGCGAGTCAATGAGTCGGGCCACTCGGCCCATTGATGGTAGTTAGCAGTTAATAGGTCAAAGGATCCGTTCTATAAGAGAAACCTGAGCTTTGGCTTCAACATTACAAACGTGGTAGCCAGGGCTGGATTTTGGTGGTTGTAGGCTCTAGGCATTTCACTCCGAAATGTGCAAAAAGAGGGGTAAAAGCCAATTGAAATACGTTGATGCACATGCTGCACTTTAAGCTATTCTAATGCTAAACCATGTGATTGTTGGAGCAAGTCGAGCTCCCATCACTTGAATACTTCTAGTTTCTAGAACAGCCGCTAGATAGAGCGTTGATTATTGACTTGAAGTACCTACAGTCGATCGCAAGCATGTTGCTTCAGCTCGTTTTCCGTTGGTCGCTAGTGTTTCCCTCCTTCGTAGGCCCTGAAAATGGGAAATCCGGCACTGGTGGTAGCCTGTTCTGTCCTGCAACCCTTTGGGTCAAGGAGTTCTTTCTGTCCTCGGTTTTAGTTTCCACTTTTGCCCTCCGGTCCATGATTCATCGTTCATTCTGAAGACGTCCCCCGAGATGACTTTGAGGACCTCAGTCCGGTTTCCCTGTTCAGGACCTTAAAGGTTCATGTAGGAATTTTGTGCAAATGTAAAATCTGTTGTTGGGATTTGTCTGCACGAAAAAGAACAGCCTGAAAGGTAAGAATACTTTCAGATTTTCTCTTTTCGTGCGGAGGTTAGGAAACTTGCTGGCCCATCTCATGTTGAGGCTGCCGGCACCATGCTTCAGCATGCGGAATTCTTGAAGCCTCCCTCCTTGGGACCCTTTGCTAATCCTCCCTGCATTAGATGAGAGATGGTTGTTCTTAACTACTCATGTACAGGACTCATGTATATTCAGACATTATTAATACTTTTGAAGAGGGGAAGACCGCATCAGGTTTGGTTTGTTTGCTTTTCCACTGCTCTCTTTTATTTAGCAATGGACCCTTTAGTGAGATTTTACAGAGACTTCTTCCTCAGGAAAAGGGATCCATTTAAATTTGAAGTAATTCTTTTCCTCATCCCTTGAAAGATGTTGATACAGATCCAAACAGAAAGGTAGATCCAGATTGAGTATGAAATTGAAAGTAGTTAACACTTGACATTGCACTGATTATTCAGTTGAGAATAAGGAGCTACTTAGATTCACCCTAATGATCCCTAGAATGCCTAACAGGACCCCCCTTGAAAGGGCCCTGTTACACTGGGATATGTATTTGCCTGGTATTTTAAAGTAGAGAGCCCCCCTAGCTGACCCCCCAATAATCTGAGTTGTGTGTCTACATGTGCTCTCAGCTGTGGGCTCATTGGACAGAGTGTGCTGAGTGTTCTCACTTCCTCAGCATCTCATTTCCTTCATTGTACACAGAGTCCTTGGAGCCCTCTAGTCCTCTGTCAGCCTCCGAGCAAGGTTAGGCGGAGAAGGGAAGGAAAGAAACACAGGTGTATGCGTATGGATTTCAGCGCAGGCTTTCAGACTCCGCATTTTTTTTCTCTGTTCTTATTTACGTATTGTCCTACTCTGTTGTCGGCAGCTTTAGGATCCTTAATGGGACTCTTGGACAGCAGTAGCTGGTCTTAAGAGGAAAGATAAGGTGATATCCTTTGCTGAGCTAGGGCCAGAGCTGCCGAGAGGGTAATAAGATTTTAGTTGAAGGAGTATTGCTGTGCCAGGTCAGTCTGAGGAAGGCACATTGGTTAGCCTTATCCTCTGCATTCCATGTGAGAGATTACTGGAAGAGCTGCTGTAGAATCAGTAGCTCAGGTGGCGTCGTGCAGTTCAGTACTACTAGAAAATAAAGACGTTTAAAAGGAATTAAACTTGAGTGAGGCTGGATTTTTGGTTATGATAAGTTGATACCATTTTGTTTGTGTTGCTTAGCGTGAAGGTTAGAATTCAGAGCAAAAAATTAAGTCTTTTTTTATCTGCAGGAATTGCTGGAAAGTGTTCCTGGAGAGAGAGGCAGGCAGGCAGCCCAAGATGTATTTCTCTTGAAGAGGTGGCTATTTTTGCTGCTTTCGAGCTAAACTGGAACAGAAGTCTATAAGCACATTCTGTTGAGATTAAATGCAAGCTCTTCTGCAACAAATGTTAAATTCAAGGGTAATGAAGCTGAGCGTGAGCCGATGGAAGCCTCAGTAAAGCCAATTTGAAATGTTGGGAAACTGCTGAACGTCGGGAAATGTCTCCTCCGAACAGCAGTTTTGGAAGATAGGTTTTTTTTTTTCCCCCCTGTGAAGGAAACCTCTTTGGAGCTTTTGTAATTTGCTGAGGGGAGGCTCTCAACGAGAGCACAGGATTGCTGAATTTGAGCCAGCCTGCTGAGATAAGCCCCAGCCTGCGGCCGCTGAGGGCGAGCACTGCCGGCGCCTTGCTTGCGTGCTGAGAAAGGGAGGGTTCACACAGCAGTCCATCTCCGGTGACGGATGGGGCCAGACTCGCTGCTGTCCTTTTCCTCAGAGTTACACCTGCGGATCTGAAAATCTTTTTGCCGTTTAAAGAAGAGCCAGCGCCAGGAAAAGAAACGAACCAGAATGCATCTAGTAGTGGAATCCTCGCAAGACGCTGTACTCAAGATGCTGCCTTATTTTATGGAGAATGCTGTCCTGAGTCAGAATGAAATCTATCGCATGTAAGATCTTGCTGTGCACGGCACAACTTCTCTACTGTAGAACTGTGTTTAACTATAGTGATTGGCGGAGTGTGTAAATGTATTTAGATGCATGTTTCGTGGAAGAATGGAGCTTTAGGCCTGTATTCAATCAGAGTGTGAAGTACTGTAAGTTACTGTAAAAGTGAGAGAGAGGTTTTGTTCGTGTGTCCTGTACAGTCCACACTCTTGCATTAGTGTGTCTTTTAAAATAAACGTTTCATTAAACCAGAAAAGATAAGAAGAGTTGATTAACAATTTTTGCATATATGCATCTTATTTTGGTATTTATAAATATTTTTATCATCGGTGCTGTGTATACCTAGATTTGTTGTTTTCATTAAGTAAAATATTTAGTTTTTAAGAAGGCTAAACAACCAAATGTTTTTTTTTTCATTCCATGTGGAGTTATTTTTATACATACTATTGATATCTATTATTTTGACTTCCTTTTGAACTCTGGTCATTCAGAGAAACATTCTATATAAGATTTCTGTATTCAAGAGAAAGCTGTATATTGTATAGTGAAGTTATGTGAATTGATGTGTCTTCGTTCAAATAGCTGAACCTTGACAATTTGTGAAAAATCAGGAATGTACGTATGAAATATGTTCTTAGAAGGCATCGTCTCTGAACTTAATATAAAAACGTGGTAATGCAGGGTATGGTTTCTGACACATAGCTCCATGCACTCTTTGTATGAGTGGGTGAGATATACTGCACTTTATTCAGATAAATATTTAAATTAGTGTAATTTATGATTGTATGTAAGTTGCAGCAGTAATATGTATGCCATGCTAGTCTTAAGCCCAGTGTAAAGGGTGTAATATTAATAATAGGGATGACTGTCCAATGTTCCTTTGAAGCCTGTTTTGTTTTGCTTGATAATGCACATCAGCAGAGATATATTTAGACAAGGCTTTTGTGGAGACTGTCTGATAATGGGGATACTTGTTTTCTGACATGTTGCCAGAGAGACTGCTGAGGATCCGTCTGGATAATTAGGGTGTCTATGCGTGCAATATTTATTTTAAAAGAAAGGTTGTGCAGTCTGTATGTATATTATGTATACACACAGTTGTTGTTTTTTTAAATTTAGATGGATGGAATAAATTGACAAGTCCAGGTTTATAAAAACAGATATATAACTGACCTTCATTGTTTTACCATTACAAACAGCTTATGTTCATTGAAATCACTTCATTATGTCTGCAGGACTGTGTACAGAGGACAAAGCTAGAAAACAAGGTCATTTAACATCTTGATCACAGTAAAAATAAGTCCCTGCGTGGCTGTGCTTTATATTTGTTGGCCCCTGAAAGGCTGGGTATTCAACTTTTTAGAAAAAGGGAAAACCGTGTAACAAGCACCACCACATTGTCCTTTCATTGTTGGGTATTGTCTTGGTTATGAAAGGCAGTTTGACTGCCGACCAAAGCTGGCCTCCTTGACTTTCCAGTTCGTCTTCCTGAGGTTGGGCTTGGTTCCTTTCGGACTGGATGAAGGAAGTCCAGTGATCTCAGCAGAGCTGCAGACAATAGGGCATGACTGATGAATCTGACCAAGTTTAAGGCATGATATGATTACACCCCCCCCCCACAGATCACGTTTCCGAGCCATCTGAGAACACAATGAGAGGTGTTTTCCTAGAATTGAGGAACCCGTTTGAGCCGAGTAAACAGGGTCTGAAAAGCCTGTACACAATCAAGTTCTTCGTTGACCATTATTTTGTATCTTATCTTGAATTATGTGTAGAGCTTACACTCAAAAGCTTGAAAAATGCTGTCATGGTTTTGGATAGTTAATTGCTATCTGTCGGAAGGGACAAGCACAGACCAGCGAGAGGCTTTTAAAGCCACAAGAGAAAGGGTTGGGAATTTCAGTCTGTGCCATTGTGCGCGCTGTGCATTTTCACATAATGTCTAGCTAAATTATCTCATTGGCTTAGCATGAAAATGAAAACCAGTGGAATTAGAGGTTCTGGATATCATCGTGTAAATTGTAAGGATTCTTTTTGAATTTGTGTTTTTTAAACCTTCAGTCACAGGAGCCTGAAGAGCTGGGAATATGTTTTCAGAAGCTATACTAATATCATTAGAATGCCTCTTTATATATTTTGTATTACTGAGGAACGCACCCAGTGTTATGAAAAGCAGATTTCGACTTGTTCTAAGGTAACAGGTAAACTATAGAATGAAACTCACAATACATTAGGTTGTTACTTGGAGAATATCAAAGAGTAATTCACAGAACCACTAAGCTCATGGCTTTTTGTTTCATCATCGGACTCTGGGAGATTACTGATAAGTCTCTACATTCAATTAGCGGGCTCAGAGATCCTGCTGCTAAGATCAGTATATTAACTAACACAGGACTAAGACAGCACTTTGGTCTGCATTGATGTTTCAGCTTGTGAGGTCCAGGGATAACTTTCTCTGAACACTGTATCATTTTCAGCATTGTACCATCCCCGTCCTCACAGTGACCGATCTCAAATTAAATTCTGTAAAGATCTGTTGTAGCAGTACTTGATTGCTGCTAGCAGCTCCTCTTTTTACGTTTTCATCCTGTGCCTTTGCCACTCTAAGCAATGTTGTGGTTTGTGTGCCGTGTAAGGCGCAAGATGTCATTTTACCCCTGCGTTTGTGTTTCAGCCTGAGTGAGAGCTTCTTCATGGTGAAGGGAGCAGCTCTCTTTCTGCAGCAGGGAAGCAGTCCGCAGTGCCAGAAGGTACACCCCCATCACAAACATGCAGGTAAGTCTGGGAGCGGAAGGTGGGATGTATTGTTGGACGAAGCCAGAGCTCAAATGTAAGCACAGCTGAAGTGATTCCGAAGCAACGCAAAGACACCCTCCTTCTAACCCTTGACATGTGCTGCTTTTCTTATCTTCATATAACCTGCTCAGTGTTGAAGACAATGCATTTTTTTTTCCCCCATCTCTGATGTGTCAGACAATGGCATTACGCTAAATGCTTTGTGTTGACGTAGGCAGCAGACATTAGTAACAATGTCCCAGACGCAAAAAGGATTAAGGAGCTGAACTTTTTAAATATGCATCAAGAGACCTCATAACTTGGGTTTGGCTTTGTAAAGTTATAGTCAAGAGGTGCAAGATTTAAGCCTGAGGTCAGATTCAGGGTGATGGCTTGGGTTCCTCTTTAAACACTCCTCAGCTGGAGTTAGTTAGTAAGACCCTGATCCAGTCGGTTTTAGTGCTGATCATGTCAAGGTACACTTACCTGGCACTCAGGTTAGATAATGAAGTTCACATAAATGATCATTCTGAGGGATGCTTGAAAACATTGTGTGCTGACTCTGCAGATTTTTTCCCGGAAAATATGTGACTTAAAACTAGTTAGACCAATCTTAAAAGAACCGTCTCTGTCTTTGTCGGGTATGGTTGGTCCGACAGTGAAGATCAGGCATGGAATCTTAGAAAACAGAAGATAGTGGTTTGTAAAGGCAACACTGTGTTTTGAGTTCTGTCTGAGTGGGTTGTTTTTATCTGCTGAACGCTCCGGGACATCCTGTGCTTCATCGTGGGACAGAGTTGTTGATAGGGGCTGACGTAAACTGAGGACCATATCTTTAGATTAACTTGTAAGGTGCCCCTCTGCTGCATCGAATGTGTCTGAGAATGTTGCAAATATTTATTTGAGCGACAAAGTACAGTACAGAATTGAAGTTGGGTTCAGTAGAGGAAGTATGAAGACAACCTACAGTATATGTGTTCACTGAAAAAAGGACAAAGTTCATTGCAGAGTAACCAACATGATGTGTATAAGAAATAAGCACGTACAGTGTAAAAAATAAGCACCGTCTCCTTAGTATTTGCGTGCAGTGCAATAACGCAGATCAATGTAATGTAGACCTAGAAATTTGTCCTAGATTACTGTTAGTGTACATTATAAGGGTGTGCGTCATATTTGCAAGTAATTTTATATTTACTTTTTTTCACACTACCTGCAATTTTAACACTGCATAACTCTCCTTGCACTCATTGTCATCATTTCTGTGATAGAAATGGAAAGGATAGATATAAATCCGTGTTGCAATCTCAGAGCATTCTATGCGGGTAGTGAGGAACGTAGAAGCATAAAAAGCACACATAGGTTTTCAGTCTCAACGCGTTCTCCAGGACATTTTGTCACCAGAATGTGAAAAGAACTTCAATTGCGCCAGCAATTTAAGATTACTTGCACATAGTGTAGTATAACATGATTTAAAAATACGATGTGCAGCACTTGACTGATAAGGGTAGTCTGCTCCAGAGAGCTGAGATGTGGGCCAGAAACGGGACAACAAAGCAGGAAGAGGAAGAAGCCTTAGGTGTATCCTGCCAGCTTGTTAAATGGTGCTGCTTGCACACAGGATCCGAGTTTCTCTGCTCTAGACAGGGAAGATGAACACTCAACCTAAATCAAAGGGCCAGGCCCGTTTAGCAGGAGATTTGTCAGCACACTCCCTTTTCACACGCTGGAGCTATTAATAATGGTGCCAAGCAAGCAAGTCAAATTAGGTTTCCCTTTCCTTCTCCCCCCAAGCTGGCACAGGAACTGATTGATCACACGTCCCTAAAGAAAGTAAAAGGCCACTTGGAAACAGCAGTGCAGCAGAGCTCTGCCACAGCCCACGTTTAGATGATCTCGGTTTTTACGTGGTCCGGAATAGCAAGAGGGTTATGGTCAATTACAGTTAAACAATGCTCAGCGTGCCAGAAGTCTGATTACAGTATATTTACTAGCCTTATCATTAAATGGTTGCTTATTGTAACCACAACGTTTACCTTGTCTGTGTGGGTGAATGTTATTGTTGGTAGACATCTGGTGGGTGAGCGCAGATGTAGACGCTGAAAGACTAGGTGGACTTTGAGGATCAAACTCTCTCTGACCCCTTTGAGTAGGGTAGCCAAAGGCTTTGTTCTAGGACTTCTGTGCATGGTAATTTAATCTCTGCAGCAGGATTTGAGGTAGCTCTAGATGTACTGAATACTGAACAAAGCCCTGTCCATGACTCAACAACAGGTTTTAAGAGACAAAATAAAATGTCAGAGCGCAACATCCTGTTTGAGAACCTAAAAGTTGAGCTGTATCCAGCTCTGCTTCCTGCTCTCATTTGAGTTTCCTTAATGGGGATCCAAAGGTAAAATACCAGACTAATATGAATCCCATTATCTGGCTTGTTTAAGCTGGGTACTGATAGCCCAAGTGGTGAATTATGGCTGTTAATGACAGATCCTTAAGGTTTAATTGAGCTGTGTTTCTGTGTAAGATAAAGACTATAAAAGTTACTATTTTGTTACTGAAATGCATTGCTTCCAGGTTCATGTTTCCCCATCAACCTGTTTGCTTCATGAAGAGGTACATCTTTGCAATAAGATCTAATTAAACAAATTCTTAAGACCAAAAGAACTCCAGGGTTCAAAGGGAACATTCCTGTGTCAGTAACAGAAGGCATGCAGTCTCGTTTCGTGTGAACCTGCTTGAACGTCAAGGTGTAGCTGTCAGACTTGTACCAGAAGCTAAGCAATTTAAATTAACATGCCGTGTGCACATACGTTATTGCATGACGAATGACTAGCTTCTGCACCGTTGAGGCAGTCTGTAATTTGTTTTATGCCATCGGACGGAATTAAAACTGCCCTGAAGCCATGTTTTTATGCTTCGACCATTTTATTCCTTGGTTGCCTCGATTGCAAGATGTTTCTTTTCCTGCCTGCTTCAGCTGCTGCGGTTTGTTCTCATGCTAATTCTGTAATATGTAAGTGGAAGAAAGGGAACGAGTCTCTCAATTTATCACGCAATGTGGAGAAGCAGGATTGACAGCAATTTACAGTGAGCAGTCCACCGTGTACTTTCAGGAAAGAAGGCGTGCTTTATCTGAGAATGTCGGGAAAACCTCAGATCCACAGTAACAAGCCAGTTTTACTTTGGGAGAAACTTTGGGCAGGGTGAGAGCCTCCATTTGCAGTGGATGTGGTTGACCTTGTGAATAGCTGCACGACAGGAGCTGTAAACAGAGCCCTTTGAAGGCCTTTGTGCAGGAGATAAAGCAAGCTGGTTGAAACGGAGGACAGGGGCAGTTGTTCAGTGGGAGGCACACACTGTACCACTGTCCAGCTGCTGCCTGGTAAACACTTTGCAGCACAAAGCCTTTCTGTTGGTCTGCCTAGGCTCTGCCCTGTGCCTTCAGGCATAAACAGTCAGCACTTTCCTTCTGGTGGGTTAACAGACTCTTATTAACCCCTGGTTAGTTTGAACAGGCTTTTGTCACCTCAGAAAGGCCTTTTCTTAGCCCTTGAGGACCCTTCATTAGTGCTTGTGTCCAAGTGTCTATTCACAAGAATCAGAAAGTGTATGTGAAGTTTTTTACCAGGCTTACTTTCTGTGGAGATGTCGGTAATTAGCGTTAGCAAAAGTTACCAATGACCTCAAGGCTCAATTCTAAACTGGTTAAAGAGACAGCGATGTTTCCTCTCATTCTTGGTTTCTCTGTACAGGTGTGTTAATGCACGAATCATCCCCAGGAGGCCTATTATTCAAATGATTTGTTTTAAAATTATTGGTGTCTATATTTATGCTTTGTTGTTGTTGACAGGTGATTTACCTCAGCACCTGCAGGTGATGATAAATCTTCTCCGTTCAGAGGACAGAATTAAACTGGTGAGAACATAACTGGAAAAAGTCCCCATACAAACACAGATGTTGTGACTTCTGGCACCGTCTTGTCAGTTCAGTGTCTTTGTGTTGTTTATCTAGGTTACGTTAAAGAGTAGAACTACATTTCTTTTGGTCTATTTTCAGTTTTCTGTTCTTTGCTTATTGAGCAACGTTCTCTACATGGGATGGTTGAAAAACCCATTTCTGGGATGCCCTGCAAAGGCCTGGAAACTGAGGTGGGAACTCTGTGCTTTTTCTTTCTGCAGGCAGTACGTTTGGAAAGCGCGTGGTCAGATCGCGTGCGGTACATGGTAGTAGTTTACACCAGTGGGCGCCAGGACACAGAAGAGAACATTTTGCTGGGCATGGACTTCATCAACAAAGACAGGTACATAGGTCACATCACATCACACCATTGCTGTTTCACTTTATAATACTTGTCCATTAACTGATTTAATATCAAGCTAACTTTACTGTATTAGTACATAGTCCTATAAGCAAAAAGATATTTGAATTCCCTTGATCGTAGAAATTGAACTATATCGTTTATATATTGATTGTTGAAATAAAAGGGTGGTGCAGAGCTTTTAAATGGCAGAGGGAGACTGATAATGTGAAGACAGATGTTTGTTTATATGAAATAATAATAGAAATTGGTTTAAGCCTTTTAGAGTTTTTTGGGTTAAGCACTGAGAAAGTATCATGTTGAATTTTGCAGTAAAAGCTGCTCAATCGGAATGGTTTTGCCGCTGTGGAGCGATACCAAGATCCATTTGGATGGAGATGGGTAAGATACATTCATTTTCTAGATGCAGCACAGCTCTGATGCTTTAGGGAGATTAAGCAGCACTGCCATCTACTGGACATTGTATTTAGATCTGCAGTGATAACTAATGAAACTAAAGAGCTCCCAGACAATTATGATGACAGAAGCTAGAGCTGTAGCAATCTGCACTTCTGTATCTTCCCAGCACAATGTGCTTCATATGCTTCTTCGTTATCTGTTGTTGCAATGTTGCAATTGTTTAGCCCAGCCTTTGGACACCACTTGCACTTTTGCAACTTGTTGCTAAAATTCTTTTTTTTTTTGGCACAGAGGTTTCAGTGTAAATACAGCAGGAAGATCTCACGTCTTCAAGCCTGTGTCTGTCCAAGCCATGTGGTATGTAAAAATAGCATTGTACCTGATTCATTCTGGTTTTCTGCCCTTGAACTGCATTCTTTCTTGGTTTCTTTAACAAGTGATTAAAACATGGCATTATCTTAGTTGCCATGACATATATGATTGTATGGATACAGAATGTAATATCAAGTACAGACTGAAATGCATGGTTAGCTGTTCAGTTAATGAAAATGATACATACGGCTTTCATCTAAATGTGCTCACGTTAGACTGCTGAGCCCCTGCACCACCTAGTGGCCTACGAATGAACTGGTGACGAGGAGTAGTTTTCTCTGAATGTAATTTTCAAATGATGTCATATAATGACCGTTGACGGTCTAAAAAAATATATATATATCTGTTAAGGGCTTTTGCACGTGTTGTACAGTGGTCACTGGAGCAGTTCATCACCTACAGAGGGGAAAATTCCCAGCTGTGGACAGCTGCATTGCGTTTCTCTGGGACATGAACAGAGCAGTGCTGTGGAGCTTTGTGCAAAGAGGTGCTTGTTTGCAGCAGATGGTAAAAACCTTGTTATTGGTGTGTAGGTCAGCACTGCAGATCCTGCACAAGGCATGTGAGGTGTCAAGGAGGTACAACTACTTCCCAGGCGGTATGGCCCTGACCTGGATGGGCTACTATGAGAGCTGCATCTCCTCTGACCAGAGCTCCATTAATGAGTGGAACGCCATGCAGGACTTGGAGACCATGCGGCCTGACTCCCCTGCCATGTTTGTTGATAAGTAAGTAGGCTGTTGTTGAACCCTCTGACACATACAGTAGGCGCTATCTATCACAAGTTAGGAAACATCATAGAGGCATTCTTGGTACTTAGCCCCATAATCTTGATCAAATTCAAATTTCGTAAGTACTGTACCTTTTATCTTTCTAGTGTTCTGAGAAACTTGGCATTCCTAAGACACAGAGACTAGGTTAACGTTCTTCCCCAGCTCTGAGCTTCATTGTTCTAGAGTATGAGTTTTGTCCTGCTTCATCATACATTACCCCTGCCTAGCTGTAGGACTCTGCACTTAACCATGCTGTTCTATTTTCCTTTTGTTTTAGGCCTACAGAGAGGGAGCGAACAGAGTGCCTTATTAAAGCCAAGCTCAGGAGCATAATGATGTTCCAAGATTTGGAGAATGTTACTTCCAAGGAGGTGTGTGTTGATTTGGCAAAAAAAAGCTTAAACCATGCCAGTGTGTTTTCCCATTTGTCATTCCTTTGCATTGCTTATCAGCATTTAGGGATTGAGTAGAAGTCCATGCAATCATTATATCCTGCTCTGCTGATCAAACACGTTAAGAATTATGATACACTCTTTGTTTTAAGAGGCAAGTCTCTGAGTGACTAATTTCTTCTGATTTGTCTTTTCTTCATTTGAAAAGATCATAGATTATATGGCAGTGATATGCATGTCCTGAGGACTTTGTCCTCTACGGTATACAGGTGTCCATCTTCCACATCGACTATGTCATAGTGCTCCAGGGTTTCTTGGTTGGTGAATCCTGCACCCTGTTTGTAAGAGAAAACTGCAAGCACGTTAAAATTCCCACTTGTACATGACGGATAATACTAAGACATGTGACTCTTGTGCAGGTAACCTTTAAAATGAAGACTTCTAATTATATTTATTTTGACTTTCATTTTATATGAGAATACCAGTATGTCATGAAGTAGCACTTTGGGGGTATAATTACATTTGAAGCACACACATATAGCTTTAGAATGTTGCACGGTGCAATTGCTAACATTGTTAAACAGCCATACTGTATGTTTATTTCTCCATCTCCAAAGATTTGCAGCAATAACTAATGAAACCAAAGTCTTTTAATTTGCAATTAATAAGTATAGAAGAGGAACCACGTGTATGAGCTACCTGTTCATCTCATACTTAGATTGTTTTGTAAAAATTTTGTTTTGTTTTCCAATTTCTTACAGATTCGAAATGAGCTGGAGCAGCACATGAACTGCAATCTAAAGGAGTACAAAGAGTTCATTGATAATGAGATGCTGCTCATCCTTGGGCAAATGGACAAAGCCACGCTCATTTTCGACCATCTCTATCTGGTACGATCAGGATCGAATTCGTTACTGTAACACTTTCTGTCGGGCAGTAGAATTCAAACTGTATCATGACTGTACAGTGATTAAGGCTCTGACCTCCTGACAAGAGGTTCAACTAATGTATCATTTAGAAAGGGATCATACCTGGATTGACCCAGCATATCCAACTCGGTAAATTACCAAGATTAATATTTTGATTATGGAATCTTTGTAAGATGCTTTCGATACTCATAGTACAGCTTCTCATCATTCAGTTTTGCGTGTTTGAGGAAAAATTAAAAATGGTATACATGGACACAAACTTTTTTTGTATGGAGACCATATATTGAGATCTATTACCATGGAATTACTGAACATTTGTGCATTCAAATATTAATTTTACAATTATAGTAGCTGATGGAAGTGCTCCATACTGTTTACACCTACATTTACTTTAAAACTGTAGCCTTCCACTCTAAAGAACAGTGGAAGGTGTGAAGATAATCTTGCTTTAGATGTAAGGTACTTGTCATTAACTGTTCAATGCCTTACCTTACTAAGGCACAGATGAAATTCAATGGCAACTGTAACTTAATACAGATAAGGTGCATGTTTTACTGGGGTATTTCCTAATTAGTAGCTTCACCTGTATTCTGGAATGTCTGAAGTGTTCTCTAATTGAATTTTAAGAAAATTAAGCAAATAAATAAATAAATGGAAGAAGGCATTCCTGTCATTAGCCAACCTTAAGGCTGACCACACAGGTAGCTTCAGTGGTGTGTTTCTGTGGAAACTCTGGTTTCCATGGGAACCAGCCTCAACATTATGGCTGGAGCTGGGAGCAAGAGCCACTCTTGGAGACGAGGGCTCTTGTCTCTTGCGTGAAGAAGAGGTTCGGTTGGCAGGAGGGCTCTGGAGAGGAAGGAGTGTGCGTGCCATCTGCACAGTGCACTGATGACTGGGGAAATCCTGGCTCAACCCTACTGCTTTTCTGTTGCAGGGCTCAGAGTGGAATGCCTCCAACCTAGAAGAACTGCAGGACTCCGGGTAACTTGAGTTTGAACTTTGTTCCTCATGCTGCCTTATCTCTTCTGCGCTACAGATGTGCTCAGTGCACCTCTGCAATGATCTAGGTGGAAGACCGAGCTACTCTGTAGTAGCTATTTATAATATGTTAAAGCTATCAAACCTATTTTGTATGTTCTCTGATGCTACTGCTAGGTGTCAGTAGTGGCAGTTTTTTTCTTAAAGCCTTGTTTTGAAACATCTGAAGTTGCCAGGTTTTATTCCATGAACAGAATGCACAATGCTCCTGGGAGCCAGGGGAATTAAGTTTGTGTTAAAAACAAAATAAAATAACTTTTCTCTTTAACATGTGAAATAATGCAAAGCTGTACAGTTCATAAGTCAGTCTAAGAGTTGTTTAAGTGACCTCACAAGTGTAAGTAATTCCAGATTGTGTTTGTTAATAATCTCTATAACAATGAATATTAGCCTAAATAAATTCTGGAGAAATATCACAATTTCCATGCACGCCATGACTATAAATGTGTTCTGTTTCAGTGTTGGCTACATCTTGAACGTGACCAGAGAAATTGACAACTTTTTCCCAGGCATGTTTTCCTATCACAATATACGGGTTTATGATGATGAAGCCACAGATCTCCTGGCTCATTGGAATGACACGTACAACTTCATAGTTAAAGCTAAGTAAGTTCACAGGTTGCGTTTTAATGAGTGGACCACTGATTTTATGATGCTTAGAACTGTATTAGCTAGTAGATGGACCAAACTGTAGGGGGAATCAACTGAACTGTGGCGACGAGAACTACTTAGAGGAGTGCAGGGTCAAAGACGAGAGTTGGCTAGCCAAATAGAAATGTGCTGAAGTATGGTTGAATTGCTTGCAATGGCCCTGGCTTGAATGAGCCTGTTCCTTTACTGGTTGAGCCTCTTGGGCACTTGTACATTAACCTTCAGGGTTCTGATAAGGCTTGTGACTTACAAGATCGGCATACCTCTCAGATTTCCGATATGTGCAGCTACAATCCTGTCCCCTTTTATCAAACAGTAGAACAGGCTGTTGAAATGTATCCAGAAATTCATAGAGAAGCAGGAAAAACCGAGAACTGGGCCTGAAAAAGAAAATATTCCCCCCCCCCCCCTCACAGGAAGAACCACTCCAAGTGTCTGGTACACTGCAAGATGGGTGTCAGCAGGTCTGCATCCACCGTCATCGCCTACGCAATGAAGGAGTACGGCTGGTCGTTGGAGAAGGCTTACAATTATGTCAAACAGAAGCGAAGCATCACGCGCCCCAACGCCGGGTTCATGAGGCAGCTGGGAGAGTACGAAGGAATCCTCGATGCCAGGTAGGCGCCGCCTGTGCCTCCGTTTCTCGTGTTGGACATGGAGGCGTTTAGCTCACCTGTCCGCCGGCATGACCTCAGAAATCAATTGGCACGCTGCGATGCGTCTCTGCTGTCGGGCCTGCGACGAAGTTTGAGATTTTCTTCAACCCTTGGACACGCAAAAGAAAGAGACTCCCAACGTGTGATGACGCCAAGTCCCAGCTGAATTGTGAATTGAGCATTTTTTCTTCCTGTGGTTGGGTTTCACACTGTTGTAATCTCTAAATGTGCATGGTCCTCAATTTAACTCGGAATTAATATTTATTTCCTCTGTCACTATGAAGAACTGTATGTGTTTATAATCTAGAATTAGTGCAGAAATGTATACATAACTCTCTACTTCAGTGTAATATTTTACTGGGTATAGGTGGAATCAGAAGATATATTTATTAGTTTTGCATCACTGTGCACAATATTCTGTAGTTCTAATGAACAGTAGATAGACATCTTCTTTCTGTTTTTATTTATCACTTACTGTATATTTCCTACAGAGGAGCTAAGTATAAATAACTCCCAAAAACATTAGCATTAGTAATTATTTTTATGGATTTGTTTAAATTTTAAAATAACTTTGGCATGTTATTGAGAAATTTAGGAATCTAAAGATTTTAAAAACATCAGTTTTGGTCCTAGGTTCCTTAAGGATTCAAAGTATCGGACTCCCTTCCCAATAATTTTGTTCATAGGGTTGTTGATTTTAGAGACCTTTGATTGCCTACAGGGAATAGGTTTGTAACGCTTATAGCTTTTCTGTTGTCAGGCGCAGTCTTAAGACAAAGTTTCTTCGGCATTTGTGCGCGTCTGCATACGAGTAAGGGGCATTACAAAGATCCCGTATCTAAAAATAGGTTTGATTGTGAAATATCTAAAAATCACTATTAATAAAAGAGCATAGGGGGCAATGAAGACTGTATACATATCTCTGTATGTATACAAAAGACTGTGCATATACCTCTGTTCCATGTAAGTATGTAACACTGCAGGGAGATGGAGAGATCCAGATGAACAAAGGCCAATCCGATCTGGCCTTTAAGGGATATCAGTCGTCACGTGCAGCAAGATCAGGGTTATTAGTTTAGCCGCTGTTTCACGCTGGTATCGTAATGATAAGCTCTGCTTGGAGTCGATAGTGGTCAACTCTCCCGGGTCTGTCTTTGCCCCCGTGTCCTCACAGCAAGCAGCGGCACAACAAGCTTTGGCGCCCAGACTCGGACAGCGAGCTCCCCGACGGCCAGCAGCCCCCCGCCCAGTGCGGCAGCGCGGACGGTCCCGGGGAGCTCACGCCCGAGCCCGCCGAGGCCTGGGGGGGCCAGGAGGCCAGACCCTCGCCCTGCAGGGCCATCGGAGTGGAGGTGGACCCCGCCGACCCCCCCAATTACAACTACTACTTCAGGAGGCTCTCGGACTCGGCCCTGGACAGCGACCCCTGCACGCCGGTGCGGGCCCCGCCCGTGCTGGACATGGAGCGCGTGTTCATCGAGATCGAGGACGTGGAGCGGGACGCCCTGCTGGACGACGAGGGCTTCGAGACCAGGGAGTGCCCCCTGCCCCACTTTGCCATGCCTGGGGAGGGCACCGCCGCACAGACCTGCTGCCGCCTGGAGCCCCTGGAGGCTGACATCCGCATGAAGCTGGAGTTCGGCACGGTGGAGGAGGAGGACGAGGAGGAGGAGGAGGAGCAGGAGGAAGCTGACATGGTGCCCCTGACCGCCCCGGGGGTGGGAGGGGGAGGGGGAGGGGGCGGCGGGGGGAGCGAAGGCATGCTTGAGGAAGAGAAGGAAGAAGGCGGGCCGCTTCCCTGCTCCTCCTCCCTGGCAAACAGGAACAGGCTCAACAATGAGAATGCCAACAACAACAACAGCCTCAGCAGCAGCAAAAGGAGTTGCCCACCTGGGTTTGATGTGAGTATGGCCTTTTCTTACTTTCTCTGTTGGCCTAGAGGGAAGGTGTTCAACTGAACTGCATAGTAACTCATGGATGATCAGTAGAAGATGTGCATCTAAACCGTTTGATCAGACCTTCTTTGCACATAGTGTTACTAAATTGTGACAGTACCTGGCAGCTGTGTTGTGGCTTTTTATTAAAAACATGTACAGAAAAATCAAAAAACATTCTTCTCTGCAACTCTTGACCACACATTTCTTCTTTCCTCCTTTTTTGTCCTTCTATTTTAGGACAGTGCTAACACCAGGAACACATACAAAATCAAGCCTCCGTACCAGGCCTGTACAGACTGCATGCATTCCCCAAAAAGCCAGCTCTGTGAGCCCATGGTTGTGGAGCGTGCCCATCGCCTTAACCCTGCGCAAATGTGTAGCATCACAAACATCTGCGTGCAGAACTCTGGCTCCGCGTTAGCCGAACACGCCACCATTTCCAACATGTCACCTTTGTCCGGGCTGTGCAGGGCCACCAGTAGACGCTGTTCACCGAGTAACTGTGCCAACAGCGGTATTTCGGCATCGGCAGCACATATGGAAGCCTATCGCCATCAACAGGTTTCGCCGATGAACTGCGACGAGCTGCCCCGAGACCAGCACAGGGAGTTCGAGGCCGAGTCCATGAATGATTTGTCTGAAGTAGAGCACAGAAAGGGTTCTGGAAAAACTGCTAAAGATTTAAGTCTGCTAAAGCTCAGTCTAGAGGCGGAGAGACCCATAGTGCCCAGTTATGTGATGCAGCATCAGGAGTCCATAATGCAGCTCCAGAAGGCGGGGTTGGTCCGCAAGCACACAAAGGAGCTGGAAAAGCTGTCAAGTCTCTCCTTGGAGTCCCCCAAACCATGCAGCCAACTTCCAGAGCAAATGGACACCTGTTCTGAGGAGCCGGATGGGATAGAGACAGTGGAGGACATGGAGATCGACTCCCATACTTTACCGGAGGCCTGCCACAAAACATCCACGCCATGTGTTGGCCGTCTCGAGGGCACGGAATCTCTGCCAAATGACATCCTGAAGACGGTGGGTGGGCTGACTCCCGTCTCCTCCCCACACGGCTCCACGCTGACGCGCAGCTCCAGCACCGAGAGCCTGCACAGCGTGAGAGGGAAGCCTGGCCTGGTCAAGCAACGCACCCAGGAGATCGAGACCAGGCTCCGTCTGGCTGGGCTGACCGTGTCTTCCAAGCTGAAGAGGTCCAACTCCCTGGCCAAGCTGGGCAGCCTCACCTTCTCTTCTGAGGATCTGTCTTCCGCCTGCTCCTCATCAGACACCAACACCATCTTGTTCTCCACGTCTGCTGAAGCCAGTAACGCCGAGAGCTGGTTGGTACCAGGCTCCCACCCAGTCAAAGCCACGCTGATCCAAGGAAGCTGGACAAAACCGCTGATTGGGAGCAGTCCTGGATGTCCTCCTCAGAGTTGATCTCTTTCAGCTTAGATGTTCATCGGGAGTGATGGCACTCCTGCCTTGCTTGTCATTAGTAAGAAAAGGCATTTGTTGAGTGAGACCGAGCATGCAAAATTATAAAAATTTTAAGAAAACGTGTAATATATATACATATTATATATATTAATATAATTCCACATCATATTTTTAAAAATCCAAATATTGCTGATACGTGGTTTCTGGTATCAGGCTTTTCCCGCATGGAGCGCTATGAATGTGTGCAAGTGAACCTCAGCAGGACTGTGCTTTGCCATTCTCTGTAGGGTGCCATGAGACCAGCAATAGGATTTGCAGTCCAGGTTCTTTCTTCCTGTTCTTGCCGTCTTGCCAGTTCTGAATTTCAAAAATTAGATAAGACTTTTAGCATATTCTCTGGGTTCAATATTTTAGCCATTTTAAAAAGAAGGAAAGAAAAGGCTTTCTAGTAAAACAGTCTTCAAATAAGAAGAACGTTTAAAGAATGCTTCTTCATTCTGGCTGTTTTTTCTAGTGGTACTCAGCATTTTAGGAGTTAGGGTTCCATGTAATGACTTGGACTACGTTTGCTTTCTGGTTTATAATATGCGCTACACAGCATAGGCTTTCCCCACTGGTAATGTGGAGGAGAAAGAACTGTCTCTTAATCAGCAGAAGCTCTCTTTTAATCTTAGTGCCAGGGGTACCAGGTTGTAAAAATGAGTCCTGGTCTCTTTCACCACTTTGTAAACCACCTACTTTATTCCTGTGGGATTTATCATAAGGGTTGAACGTCATCAGAGCCAATCATCAGTGCAAGTTTTTTTTGGACTGCCAAATTCAGAAACTGACTCAACAGGGTGCGTTAAATAGGATACAGACATCATATCAATATCTCCTATTAAAGAAGAAAGAAACTACTAGTGAATCTCATCATATATTTAGGTTCCTGAAAGATGCAAATGAGAGAAGGTTATTGGGCACCATGTTTTGCTTACTTAATTTCATAAAGCAATAACTATATAGGTTGCCCACTTGTTAGCATGGCCATGAAGATGTAGTGTCCACCCAAGCCATACAACTCAAACTATTTCCTTACAGCTGACAATAGGATATTAGGGCCAAGAAACAAGGAAATACTGTTCTAGATTTTAAAATCCTGCAGCCATTTGAAACAGACATTTTTCTTTCCCTGCCTAAAAAGTTTTTCTGGATGAACCAATGCCTTTTTGAAACTCTGGTTGGTCCTCAGTGTCCGATTTTGAGGTAGGCAGTGTTCATGAAGACTGGTGGTTCAGAACAGAAGCCCTTTCTCCAAGGCTAGAGTCAGGTGCAGAGCAGTCTTGCAGTGTAGTGCCCTGTTTCTCTGCAGCTTTTATTTAAGGACATAATCTTTTTTTCATTTTTCCGTTTGTTTTGTTTCAAAATTCTAGGACCATTCTACCTCCAATATTTCAGAATAGGATAAATGTTTGGGTGTTGTAGTTTTTCCTGGGCACGTGACTACAAAACGGAATCACAGTTTGTGTTAACCAGCAATTTAGAAATAAGGTCTGTGAAAATGTTGTTCATCCACATTCAAGACCAGTTTAAGAAAAACGTTTTTTAGAGTTGTTGATCACTTTACAGAATGTCTTTCTCTACTACATAGGGTGTCAGATTTTTAATTGTAGATGTTAAGGTTGTAGAGACTATCTTTTTTTAATCTTTCATCTGCTGAAGACTTGGATAAGATGGTACTTGTGACCCATCGTATCAAATAGGTAACAATTCAGAGGGAGACACAAAAATAACATTCTGTCACCAAAAGGCTAATCAGTTTTCTGAAAACGGAGTTCAAATTTATTTTTAAAAGTTTATCATGAGGTTTCATTCAGGGTTTGCTGTGAATACCATCTTATTTTTTAAAACAAACATACAAGTACTAATTTGGGCTTGTGCTGCATAGAACTACAGTGGTGCTCCATCCTGACAGTACTTATCTAAAGAGTAATGTCTAGACCTGGAGCTGAAACACTGAAACAGCTGTGGTTACAATAGACCAGTGTCAGTGAAAGCAGTTATTGAATCCATTGTAGAAAGTTTCTAATCTGTTCTGCAGGTGGCTGATAGTTAACTGGACATTTGACCCTGATGAGGATTATGATACTGTAATCTTATAGGTGTGCTGGCTAATCAAAAGTATTATGATTACATTGTTGATGGGTATTCTTAAAGGATTTTGATCGTCACTGGTTCGTTATGACCTCACTAGTTACAGCTCTTTTACAGCTATTGTACCCTCTGGAGCTGTGCGTTTGGGCAATTTCTACTGTCCTGTACACTGGTTAACAAGATCACTCTTAATTCCAAATACTTTGTAATATAGATTTGAGCTCAAACCATTGCATTACATGAAATGAAATTCCCTCCATAGAGATTTACTTCATCCCATAGCCTTTCTATTGTAGTGGGATGTCCTGGTGAAATCGAAGTATTCTGTCCTACTGTACCAATACAAAGGTTAGCCCGTTTGCTGGATTAGTCCGATTTGGCAACTCGGTCTAAGATACATTTTTCCATAGATATTTCATTCAATACTGGTAGATTGTAAAATGCAGCCTTTTTTTTTTTTTTACTTTAGTTGACTGTCTAAGACACTAACACAAACCCCATTTCTTATTCTTTCGGAAAAGATTACTGCATTTTTATACTTCACATACATTTTACCTGAATTTGGGCCTTGTGTAGGGAAGGGAGATGTCTATTATTTACATAGTCCAGACTTTCAGGCTTTTTAAAAAGGGTGTACAAATCTAATCTGAACCCGATTCCTAAACCTGGTGACCTTTTCTTTAGCCTGTGAGGTTACATGCTTGGAAATTCTTGAAACTACAGCCCCTGTACTGCACTATAGAGACAAAGTCCTCTTTTGTGTAATTCAGATTGTCGGTTCTCCAAGTCACCCAATGTTTTAATTTATTTATTTATTTTGTATTTATTATGTTTATGTATTGGCACATAATATGCAGATCTGTTCATAGGAATTTTGTATGCAACCTGACGCTATTCTGCCATTGAATTTCTTTTTTTATTTTGTACCATTCACTATGCAGTCAAATCGGTGTATTTCAAGTGTGTCAGTTCTGTGTGTGTGCATGCGAGTAACACAGGCGTTACAAAATTACTGTGAAATATTTAAAAATAGTTTGTGGTCATTAGGAACAATGAAGACTGTATACACTTTTGCATACATACCTCTCTTCCACGTACGTATGTGATATTGCAGGTAGATGAAGAAACCATAAGAAGAGTTACAAATCAACAAATGCCAGTCAGATCTGGGTTTAAGGGATATCAGGAGACAAATGTGCAGTGAGATCAGGGTTATTAGTTTCTACACTGTTTCTAGCAGTTCTTTACAAAGCTTGCAATGTGTGTGTCTGTATATATATATAGGCCTATATATTTTATTCCTACATCTGTATTATACTGACATTCACATACAGTATGCATGTTTATATATGTACACACACATACCCAAGTATCTTACTTCTGCTTTGTGGTTACAGTTGAGGCTATTGTGGTTGTCATCCTGACTCTGTATTTAACAGTGTGGTCATCTGTACTGTAGACACTACTTATATTTCCGAACCCATGTCACTGACGTGCAGGGTTAGAGGTGTGATCATTTCTGCAGCGGATCTGGCTTCTCTCTCAAACTAAATTATCCAATACCAACCTCTCTGCCCTAATCCCCTCCTGCTGCCTCGCCAGTCACAGCAGGGTTCGGTTCATGCCACTGGTGTGTGTGTGCGTGCTTTTGGTTGCCAATGAGCGCGATCCCAGGTACTGCAACGCGAAACGATGCCAACACGTTTGAAGTGTGCTCTGGAAAATGGAAGTCTGCCCCTTTGCCATTCATTTCAGTGCAGCTGCTGTGCCCTGCTCTGTGTTTTTGCATGACCAGTGCTGCTGCTTTGTGTTCCATTGTTACTGCTTTTATTCGTCTATTTTTTTCTTATATTTACACATAAGTGCCTTAACTCATGATACGATAGGCGTTGTGCTATGTGTGTATGTGTATGCTGTTGTGTCGTACTGTTGGCTGTCAAGGAGGATCTCGGGGAGGGTGTCTGGAAACGGACACCCCCTCCTCCCCAGCGTTATTCCTCAACTAGCTGGGTTCAGTAGTCCTACAGCTGCTGTGGCAACTGGCTGCTTCATTTGTTTTCACTTCAGTTCGCTTCTGGGGTAAGGTAGTGCAGGGCATCATGGGGATATTTTGTTACAGAACTTCACTTGCAATTGTTGCCGGATCCCTTCTTACAATACCCTTAACTTGCTATACTCATTAGCCATAATTACCTTTTTTTTTTGGGGGGGGGGGTGTTCAGTCAAAACAGTTTTGGTTTCCTCTGATGTCGGAGGAGGCTGGAGCTCTCTGTGAGGGTTGGAATGCACACCACATGAAAGATACTGAAAGGGTTGGTTTGGGAATGAGGCTCTCAGGACTTGAAACGCCCAGGATATGTCTGTGCACTCCTGATGCTGAAGTCTTAGTGTAGCAAGGACTGTAGTGCAGTCCATATGTGGCCATACCATGTACTGTTTTCATCAACAGATTGCTTGATCAAGATTACTGTGGGTCCTTAGAAGAAGAGAAATGCAAAGGATCACTTCAATAGTGACTTTTTCTGTCTGGATGTTTTACCATTTTTGTTACCATTTTCTTTTTATATTTAAGTATGCAGTAACTTGTTTTTTGTACTGTAAATTTGCTGTAGTTTGAATGCATATTGCACTTTTTTTTACATTTGTTAAAACAATGTACTGTATGTGTTTATTATGGAAATAAATTTTTTTCATTTAGCCAAATTGATTCATTTTCCCTGAAACATTTGTCTTTCGTCTTTTATCAGTCAGGAAAAAAACATGACACGACATCCATTACAGGATAGCCGATCACAAGCACCCACTAGTTATTACTGACCACACTAGTGTACAGTAAATACATCACCAGGGGATGTTTAACATAAATACTTAATGCATAAGAACTTCATTAGGGTGAAGATCGGGTGCTGTGTAATTATATCTAAAATGTTGAGTGGGTTTTAAGTGTATTTTTTTGGAGGTAGATGATCTTTACTTCGTCTATGATGACTATGCAGAATATTGGAACAGCACAGCTGAAATGGGGAGGCTGTGTTAGCAAAAAGAAAAGGCAGTGTTGGAACCACTGAGGGTATGGTAACAAACCAATTGCACAAGTGCAATGAGTAGTCTTACAGTTCTTTAAAAGGTAATAGTCCCATTTCACATTTTACTGTACCTTTATAAACAATTCTTTTGGCCCTCTTTTAGCTAAAATGGAGCAGTTTAAAACTGGACTTCCTGGACTCTTAAGAACTGAGGACAGCACTGTTTAGAAATGAAGAAAGAAGCACTTGTCTCACAGCCGAAACACTCTTTTGAATGAACCTTTACCTGTTTCTGTATAGCCTGTGCAAGCAGACGCAGCCCAATATGGGAATCTCTTCAATTGTTCAGGAATGTCAAGCAAGGCGTGGTGGGAGTGTTTTTAGAACCAGAGGCTATTAATTACACAAAAGGGTTGTGGGGGAAAAAGCTACACGGGCCATGTTTTCAAAAGCTAATGCCCTGCCCGCTTCAAAAAATCAATCGAATCACTTCTCTGCCTGCAGGTTAAATAACTAAGTTGGGCCGAATGGCTTCTTTACGTGCGATCTCTTATTTTTTTACATATGAAATTTATTAATGATATGCCAGTGTTATGGAGCAACCTGGGGCTTAGGTAAAGCCTCTTCCTTCTCTGCAGTAAATTGGACACACCAGCCTTGGCCAGCGGATTGAACTCCAGGGGAATGGAATTCCACAGGCAGGAAAGGATTCAGGTGATTGGCCCTGTGCTTACCTGGGACATTCCTCAATCAGCAGCAGTCAGGCGGAGAGGGCATGGAGCGGTCTCTAAGGGCAAAAGCATTATTGTAGCGAGTTTTAGCATCAGCATCCACAGCCAGCTGGCAGTTCTAGGTCCATCTGAGGTTTGAGAAGTTGGAGAGATCTAATGCAGACTTGCAAGGATTTTGTTATGGATGGATTCAATAAAGAAAGATGGATCCACAGAGATAATTAAGTAGTGTCTCTAATGTGTACTGTATGTCTGGATTCATTTGAATTCTCTGTAGCCCTTGTAGTGTACCAGATCAGTGGTTCTCAAAGTGTGGTCCGTGGACCACTGGTGGTCCGCGAGCTGATCTAGTAATCTTTCTTAAAGCAAGTCTAAGCAGCTCCATTCTTCACTTGAACTTTTTAAGTAATTAAAATATTAGCAAAATATACAATTTTGTTCGTAACAATATTAGTATTTTTACATCAAATTCAGTATTAATTTTAGTGCATTAATAGGTGATGATTTCTACAGGGCAAGAAGTGGACATAGGCATACTGTAGGTGGTCCACCGCATCTGTGACTTGACGTAAGTGGTCCACGGACCATATTTTATAGTGTTTGTATTTGGGCGCCAGCAGGTCTCAGAAGAGATGTGGAACATGTCTCCCAGTGTAAGGGTGAGCCCAGTTGAGTGTGCCAGGAGGTCCCAGAGTAGGAATGGGACAGGATTCTTCCTGGGAAAGGGAAGTGTGGCCAGAGATGGGATAGCCCAGTTGAGTGCACCAGAGGTGCTAGGGATTGAGAGGAAGGAGTTATATTGGATAAGCAAGAAGAGAAATGGAAAATTCGGAAGTTCGTTAGGACTTAATCTGTTCCATCTCTCTAGGCGGAATAGAGTTGATCCACGTGTGAAGAGGAGCAGAAGATCTTTTGGGAACTAATACCTCTGCAAAGGACTGCTTTTTGGGACTGAGCAGGCTTTTCCAAAAGGGGACTACCGGTACACCTTGGGAGCCTTGAGGGGGTTATGCAAGCCGACACGCTGGGTCAGGACTGCAGCTCGTGGCTCGGGGGTTGGCATTCATCACAGTCATTCTTGGTTGCACTACACAAAAACATAAGAAACCTGGCAATGCATTGTATGACAGTGTGTGGCCGGCCTCTTAAAATAGCATCTTTGTTTGCTGTGTACCTTGGTAACAACCATTGCAATTTTACAGTTCTTGGAATATTTAATATTTGGCTGTCAGGCTGTTGGCATGACATTAACTTACGATTGTGGGTTTTAAGTTATTACTAAGATGGAAACTGTGAGACCTTTATAGCCATGGTTCCTAATAAACTGGAGGTGTAATGGCTCCTGCATGTATAAAATACAAGGGTTTTGGGTTTTTAATACATTTTTATATGCTTACAACATTGTAATCCTGTTTACCAGGGTTATTTCCACATTTCTTTTAGACTATTCCAATTCTCAAGAATAAAGAAATAAGTGAAAAACACAAGTACAGTACATGCCCATTGAGCAGACGGTGAGCATCACTTCAATTAGTTATTGCACTTCAATTTCTTCTGAAATTGGAAATAAGCATCATTCGGTAAGTTGTTTTTTTTTAAATATCAACTTATATAACGTAACCATCTCATTGCCCTCATTTGTAAATTGGGTGATTTGCAAAAATAAAGGTGCAGTCTTGCCAGACTTCTTTATGAGCTTTTGCTTTTTACGAGCAACATTAGTTCCAGCTCAGGGGCACAGTTATGCCAGGAAAGATTCTTACTTGGGTTCCACAGCTGCCTAAAGGCAAGGAAAATGTAAAAGGTGCAAATGGGAAAGGCCTGTCTTTTAAAGGCTGTCGAGTTTGGCTGCTGAACAAGACGGTTGATCAGGTTCCACTTATTTGCAAAATCCTGGGAAGTCACTCTATGTGGCCTGCTGCAATTGTCATTCCAGAGCAGTCCATATCAAGTCTTGAACTGGAGAAAGGCGGAGACCTCGGATGTTGTACGGAGCTCATTTAAAGACAAACCCTGGCGTCCTCCTGGTGTGAAGAGCGAGCGATCTCCCAAGAGCAATGAGCCAGCTTTCTCCTGACCCCCAGGCCCTGAGCACCGGTGAGCACTACTGCTGCCACCGGAACCGTAACTCTCCCTTTGTTTAATTATCTGGAGGAGTATCCTGTTGTCGAGTTGCCACGGAGACCTGCGAAAAACACATTTCATGTTTTTCCTCTCTCCTCCCAGTCTGGCAGGGCTTTGTTTGCACCGGTAAAGCCTTTCACGGCAGACGGGAGGAATAGTCGTAGTTTGTTTTGCTCATACTGTATGTCTCCAGTGCCACCTGACAGAGAGAGTCGGGTGTGCGGAGAGTACAAAAGTCAAGACCTCTTGCCTCAGATACTAGCTTGCCAGCTGCTTAAAAACTTCAGATTGGAACTTCTTTGCTCTTACTTTCAAATACAAATGCTTCGAGGAGGTTTGTGGCACACTGCCCTTGCAGACCCCTCATAAAACACCAACACCAAGTTCTTGGTGTGGCTGCACAGACCATATCTTCCTTTTGCTCACAGCCACCGTCATGAGGTGGCGTGCAGCACTTATAGCAAAGGCAGGAACAGGGCTGTCATGGCTGTGTTATGGAAGGCCCATGGACAGATGAAGCAGACAGTCTACCTGGGCAGTTTAAATGAGGACAGCTGCAGCTCAAGGGAGCTCAATGCTTGAGATTGCCAATGAGACGTTTCTTTCTGCAAAACAAAAAGTGGGTCAGCATAATTCCAAAAAGCAGGCTGGTGCAGAGCTTCACCCAGAGAGTGATGCAACACACATTTCAGCCTTTGGTTCCTGAAGCGTAGGAGACATGAACAAGGGAAAAACAGGTATGACAGGCTGAGAAGTCTGTCCAGAAAAATACAGTTTCTTAGCATTTCTGGAAGAAAACATGCAATTCAATTCTCCATGAGGGCTGCAGCAAACATTTCTCCCAGTGCCCCTGGCCGTCACTCACTTAATGACGTTGAATAAGAGAGGCGCTTCGTCACCACGCCTGGCTGTTGGGGTTGTAAGACACCAGTCAGGCTGCAGGTCCTCCTACTTTCTCCCTCACAGCAATCACAAGACCAGGGATTCGGAGAAGTGAGTGATGTAAACATGTAGCATTGACAGGTCAGTTCTTCGAGCTTTGTCTTTGGAAATCCAGGTTCTAGTGAGGCACTGAAGAGATAGCTTGTGTCCTAATTTCGTCTGGATCAGATTTTGTATGCCTGGATGCACACATGACTAGTCAGCATATGCATTTTAATGGCTGAAACCAGAAAACATTGTCTTTGCACTCTAAAATTAGTAGGAAATATAACATTTGGGCTCATAATGCTGTATTAACTTAAAAATGAATAAATGTCCCTTGTATTTACTATGAAGGGGCTAGCAAGAGGAATAGCATGTTAATGGTTATTTGTGGACTTCTAATTCGTGTAGTGAGTCAGACAGAATAAATGTTTTCTTGGACACACTGAAGAAAAACCATGAAGTATGATTCATGAAAAACAACATTGGTCTATTGTGTGATTTTATCATTTGCAGTTTTAAAAATCTGCAGTACGGAAGATATTTTGCATAATTTCCTTATTAACATGACATGATTTATTAGCCCTGTTCTGTCTGTATTCTAAAACTCCAGTATTCCATGAGTTAAAATGTATATAATAGAATAGAATGTATGGGTCAATAAGACAGAGAACCCTGAATTGTTTAGATACTAAGTGCAATAGGACCATATACATTATTGGCAATGTGAACTAGCACACTATTATGTTGAATGGTATGATGTGATAAAGGAGATATGATTCTATTGAAAATTCAATTTTCAACATCTTCTGAAGAGCTGTCAATGTAATGTTCCTGACTAATCATCAAGTATATGTTAAAATTAGTTCAAATGTGAACTTTTCAGAAATATAACTATTTGAACAAATAAAGAAGTTAGGTCTCGAAAACGTGAATTGGTAAACAATTGAAACTGGTGGAAAATATGTCAAGTCTTTTAAGCAGATGATGGGCAGGCAGGGACAGAGTAAGTGTCGTGTGTTTTGAAATCTAGTCTCACCAGTGTACCCTGGAAGATAGTATTAAAAAGAGTGACTGAGAAAAGAAAAGTCAAAGGGTAACTGATTGCATTAGGCAAATGAAGTCTGACATCACAGATGAGCAGAAAAGTTAAAGCAAGTGAGCGTCCCTGCCTGACAGTCAGAAGCGGACTATCCGACAATAGGGGCTCTATAGTCCACAGACTGCAAGCTGCTTACTGCTGCATCCACACTGGTAAGTGTCTCTCTTGGCAAACTTTTAAAAATGCTGTGATCTCACTACTCGCTGAAAATCTCTGTACAGGATTTGGATGCGTCTGAGGAGCTGAAAATGTACAGCTGGGGAATTCCAGAGGGGAATATCTGTGCCTTCTAACTCTTGGTTTACCCTGCCAGGCTGCGTCCTCTTGCCATTTTAGGCTTCTGCACTTGCAAGGATCGAAGCACAAGGGAATCAAGTGATCCGCCTTAAGCAGGGCGTTTACAGTGCTTGATGAGACAGTAGAGCAGGGTTGAGATTGGATCCCAGAGGTAGCAAGACTTTGGCTATAGCTTTTAATTATTGCTTGTCAATTAGAAGACTTTCTAGCCTCAGAGCCGCCAATAATTTCTGATTGCTGCAGTTTTTTAGAAAACATTAAACTTGTTGGGGATGGCTAATTGGGACTTGGCATCCCTCACATTGGACAATTTTTGGCCCTGGCGTTAAAAATGAGACATGATGCAGTCCTGGTCTCCTTTGGAATATGTCCTCTGGAATATATCCTGGTTCTGGTCTTTTACTGCTTTTGAATTATATACCCACCATGCACTTCCAAAGTCTTTAGAGACAAGCTTGTGTTTCCTTCAAGACAGATGTACACAGAGCCAGTACTGAGCACACTCCTACCAGAGTGCTCAGTTAGCACATTACCTTAATTAAAATTATCCAAAAAAATGTTTTTTCTAGATACTGAATAGTTGCTGCCTAACAGTCTTGAGAGCTGCTAGATAATGTGGTTTTTAGCATCAGTATATGTTGAAAGAATCAGAAAAGGATTATTGTAAATATCTGCAGTGGTGACAAATGTAATGCCTGAACTAATTACATATGCAATGTATCTGTCTAACTGTTAGAACTCAAACAAGAAGATGCTGAATGATGTCCTAACAGACAAGCTGCAAGCATGTGGATTTGTGGATGAATACCCCTAAAATTCGTATTAAAATACATCTGTTTATACGTGGAACTCTGCAATATGCTATCTGTATTATAATCATTGGAGCCTTATGATTATAGGAAACCAAAGACTGACTAATTGAGATGTTATGGCCTTTCGTCTAGTATTTCTATGAAAAGCACATTTTTCTTCAGAAAGGTTCTAATGATGCATCACTGGTAAATAACCTACTGTATCACATGAGGAACGAGCTGACTTAAGAAGGAGGGGTAGGAGGATTCACTGGGAACAGAGTGTCACTGTAACAATGTGTTCACTGTGTAGCGAAAAGATCTTTTCTCTGTCAGATACAATTCTTGGTTTTAGCAGAGGGAGGGGGAGAGCTCGTCTAAACCAGCCCGGGGCTGTGATTTTCAGACACCAGCATTATGATGTGAGATGGAGAATAAACATTTTAATGACGGGCAACTGTTTTCACCAGCTAAGCTGGAAAAATAAAACTGAGATGATGTCACTTTTCAACCTTGATATGGCTGCACAGATGAGGGGCTGCGATTGGATTCTCAGTCATCCACAGCTGTCCAGATGCTGACAATGTAAAGACAGATTTGGCCTGAGAAACGGGGGATTGACACAGCACAAGCTGACGTCAGTATTTGTTTTTTTCAGTTATTGGACGATCGGAAGGTCAGTTCAGGAAAGCCAATTTGTTAGGTGACAAAAATGATTGCTGGTTTAACTCAAATACAAATGGAACTCAGATGTATGTAAGGAAAATACAGAATTCATCCCTTGTAGGCTACCTTGAAATAACTCCATATTGGTCTGTTCCAGATGATCTCATAGGCCTCTGGACTTATCAGCGGTCCATTATGTATCTTACCCCAAACAATTATTTCCCCGCACTGCACTAATGAAAGAGCTTGTCAGGTGATTAAACATATTGTTTACAGGGGTTTTAAAGAGTTTGTAACATTTGCAATGATCAGTAACCCAGTGAAGGACTTTGGGCCTGTTTGCTACTCCTAGCTGAAACAAAAGCCCCCTCTCATTTATATACTTTCTTATGTTCTTATGTCTTCCTAAAGAACTCCTGACTGAAGTTAGTCCTTTTGAGGAATCTGTGTCTCCCAGCAAGCCTGAAAATCAATCACTCAGCAGTGGGCACAAGACCCTTCGTTGAGAAATTAACAGCATGTCAAGTTTGTGCCAGACTGCAGTACTTTTCAGACATACCCACTCTCTATGGATCTGACGAATAGTTTAGGTTTTGTTTAAGCTTTTTGCTTCAGACATAGTCAGGAAGTGATAATCCATTGCCAGTACGTATCAATAACACAGTATGTTGTTCAAGTCTTTTTTTTTCATAAAGCCTCAATTTGGTATTTATAACAATTTACAGTGATTTGAATACTAGTTTAGCAAGCACTGCTTTTCAAAAAGAGTGGGTGAAAAATGGTTTTTTGCAAGATTGTTTTGTTTACAAAAATCTTACTATGTAGTCTAAATGTTTTAATGTGTTCTAAGTTTTTTTAGAGATAAACAACCTTATATACCCTATGAGTTAAACGAAAAATCAACTTAATTATTTAGTTATCCTTTGTATTTTTTCTGCTTCCTTCCCACTGTTTATTGCACTAGAAAAAAATTTAAATGTTTCTGGTAGGGATTCTTTTTCTTCCCTTTACATCTTACTCTCTAGTTATAACCTGATGATTAGTTCATTTATGCATTCCTTCATTGAATACCATCAAACCTGGTCTCGAGTAACGCCAACACAGTTATCTAAAATCCTGCAGCATTCCAAAGAGATAGAGCTGGCGTGGGAGAAGGAGCATGCAGTTTTGTCAAACACACTGCTGGAAGGCATTCCAAACACATAAGATCATGAGAAGGTGACTGCTTTTTGTCAAGCGTAATGCTATGTCTGTTTTCCACAGACAAGAAAATGGGCCAAAAACTGGACACAGACCACACGCCTGAGGAGTGTCCTGAAGATGGCGCAGGTGGTGCTGCACCAGACGTCAGCACGGACAATGAACGGGTTGACTCAAGCTCTGGAAATCCCTCTGGAGGCAACAGTGCACTTGCAATGCAGGGAGGGGGCTCAGCCCATCAGGAAGGCAGGGCCAGTGGATCTGAAGAGCAGGGCACTTGGGCTGTGAAGAGAAACCCAGCGAGCTCGGAAGACACATCAGGCATGGAGCCAGCAGCACCTGCTCTGCAGAGAGAGGGGAGCACACAGGGAGTAGCGGTCCTCCCTGCCAATGAGGGAGGAGAGAAGCCAGGCAGCTCAGTTCCAGGAACTCCCAAACAGCCGGAGAGCAGCCCAAGTGAGAGCAAACGCTCTGAGAGCACGGATCGGGGAACTCATCACGACTCAGCAGAAGCCAAAGGAAGGTCGAGGACTGCTTCAGAGCACAGAGAAAACACATTAGGGGCTCAGATGGCTCAGGAAGGGACGAGTGAACAATTGTACCCACAGGAGGATCAGGATGTGAATAGCCACTGCCATTTAGACCACGAGAAAGCAGAATGTACAAGCTTAGCCGAGGAGGTATCGTCCACCTCTGATCCAATGGTAATGTACTTGAAGGAGCAAACGGAGAAGGGGCCTCAGGCAGACACTCCTTTCATCCCTCAGGAAAGGGTAACGGAGGACAACAAGGAGGACTTGAAGCCTGCTGAGAATGAAACTGGGGGTGAAGCCTGCCCCCACGACAGGAAGACACAGTGGGAGACCAGCCCATGTTCATGCACGCAGGTGGAAGATCGAAAGGTGGGAAACGGTTTGACAATGGGAAGGGCAACGGCAAAAAGCTCTACACTGACCATTCAGTTGTCAGGAGAAGATCATCCGCATGGGAAATGTTCAAAAGAGGAAAAACATCCATCGCCAGAGCTCTTAGGAGAACAATCCAGCTGGGCAGCCAAAGCAGGAGAGCTTCAGGATTCCCTGTTAGTGATCCAAGAAACCACTATGGCAGAAGCACATGATCCTACAGGTGCAGATCAATCCCTTGAAAGTGAAGGAGAGTGTACTCCGGAGATACCAAGCTGTCTGAAAAATCAAAAGGTTTCTGAAGTGTCACCCGGTTTCCAGGGACAGGGAACCAATGATGACCAGAGAGGAGACATTCAGGTTAATGACAGCACTGAATCTCCAGTGGATGCAGGGACCTCTGAAACCCTCCTAGGTAATGTGGACTCCGCGCCTAATCAATGCGAAGGCGTCAAGGGTGACAAGCAAAATGTGGACTCAAAAGGGTTATGCCACGATGTAGAAACCCTCTATGTCAATCTTGCATCTGGCCCAGATAAAGGTGACACCAAACATGGGGCATCCTGCTTCAGCGAGAAGACATCAAGCGAATGCACATCAGAAGACACCAGTTCAAGATTCATAACAGAGAATGATTCTGGTTTGAAAATGAAGCCTGATACCATGGAACCCATGAAGGTCTCAACTGAGCCCCAAAACACAACTACTCCAGGCAACCTGCACTGCAAAGATGGGCCACACCAGCACAAAGGACTTCAGGTGCAGGATAAAAAGACCAAGGAGGAGCTGCAATTAGGAAGCTCAGAAAAGACCGACATACAGGATGGTCAAAAACAGCATGAGGGGATGAGAGACTCAGCTGGTGAGCAGGAGAAGAAGGTAAATGTGGCACTAATGAAAAAGGCCTTTGATTCTCCCAAAAAGACCAAGGAAAAGGCTTGTGAGACAAAGAGCACTCCAAAGAAAGGTAAGACAGAGCTAAGAGCTAAGATTTTTTATCCGTCTGATTAGTGTTTACAGTATGGTTCTCGGGAGCAGTACACTCTATTGTCTCGGGAAACAATAAAATTTAACCACCAACTTCTACACAAGCCTAAAAGTTCATAGTGATCCAATGAAGATCAGCCAGGTCCAAGTTGCTGAACAAAAAAAGAGACTCTAATGAAACAATGGTGTGTGAAAAACAGACACATGCACCAAGTAAAAAGATGCTGCATATCATGTTTCCTACTTTTGAAGAGACATTTTTTATGAGATAGTCTTTCTGGTGTAGATATGGAGGAGATAAAGAGTGCACAACAAATACAGTGCCGGGAGGCTCACCAGAAAAATTCTAAAAAAGTATTCAAGTGAAAAAAAGCAATCGTTGGTTAAAATCTGAGTTTGAAGCAGAACACTTAAAAAAGAGGAGTGGGGCTGGAAAGAGTGCTAAATGCTAGCAGCTATTTGTGTCTGAAAGCAAAAAAAAAAAGTATTATCTTAGGAGCTGCATTCAGCATAAACAAACTAAGGGCGGGTGATGTGACATCTGTATTGCTGTGTGTATTTTAATCCTTGTGGTACGTCCTCGGCCAGCAGGCATCTCTTTAAAAGGAAAAGTCTCTTCGGTATGTTCCCCGTGTGATGGGTTCATTCCTTTTGTGAGAAAGCAAGCACATTCACACAGTGGGAGAGAATACCACAGTGCTCCAGGCTACTTCAAAAAACACAAATCACTGAAGAGAAAGCCTTTTTTTACACGTATGTAGACATAGGACCTGTGACAGTATACAGAATTATATTGGTTCCCTGAATCTAGATTTGATGGCAGTGATATGCTTTAATTATTGTAACACTTAAAATGATCTTCAAGTAAGGCATTAACTGTGTGATAATCTACTGGTTTCACCACTGCTCTATAATACAGTGTTTTGTTATGTATTATATTTTACGTTGTATTTATACACAGATAATTTTTTCACAGATAAGAATTCAGTGCTCTGCGATGGGTTGCTGCCTGTCCAGGGTGTATACCCCCTTGAGCCTGTTGCTTGCCAGGAAAGGCTCCAGCTCCCCAGTAACCCTGTACAGTGGATTAGATAAAGCTGTGAGAAAATGGATGTATGGTTGGATTTCAGTGCTTTAGTAAAAAATCGAGATCGCTGTCGATGCAATAATTCTTCATGAGGTTACAATTTTATTTTAATATACTTCTGTGGAATGAATGAAAAGATGCTCTGGTCTAAGTTGAACTGTAATAACCCAGATATTAAATATTAGACTTACTTTATGTATATACTGTAAATGTCAAATAGAAATTTGATGCAAGTTCTAAAAGGTAGCAGGTTGCCTGTTTGTGTATTGTAAGATGAAAACAGTATCATTTCGGTAAATGAGATCAGGGTGTACTGTGTAATAGCAGATGCAAATCAGCTTGAAGACAAAGAGTTCAAGTGCTAGACACACTTTTTTACAGTGGCTTCTATCACAATACTGTATACTGTGTTCCTAAATATTTTTTACATTTACATTCTGAGGACACCTTCATCACATTTTCTAATAGAAATTTAGATAAATATAAAGTAGAACGTCATCATAAGTGAATATTATCTCAGTGAAATTCAGTTTTAGATTTTCCAGTTCAATTTGAACAAGCTAAAATTTTAATTCTTGAACATGTGAGATCATTTGTCATGCTTTTCAGGAATTATGAAGATGTTCCTCAATATTGTGGACAAAAAGAGCTGTTTTTATTTCCTGTCACATTGCTCTTTAGTAGTGACTTCAGTGATGTGGCTTATCAGACGCCTCTAATGAGGAGAATTTGGATATTTTCTTAGCTATTTACATTTTCGGGTTTGCATTTGTGTGCGGTTTTTAATCGCTTCCAGCAATCTTAAAAAGCACCTGACTGAAATGCCATGAGTGAAACAAAGACTCTGTACAGAAATGTACCTACTGTACCTGCAGGCTGGAAAGAAGGCTGTTCCTGGCCAGTCTCTACGATCATCCGACACCCAGAGTGTGGTAATTATTCAAAAGAGTGTGAAGATACAGAGGCATAAAGAGTCCAAGTCCAATAATAATAATAATCATTAATATTTAATAAAGCATCTTTCAAAATCCGAAGATGCTGTACAAACTGATCAAGACAAAAAAGAGAAGAAATGAGAAAAACTAAATAAAATGAAGCAAGAACATACAAGACAAACTGTAAGACAATCACACACAGGCCTTGGTAAAACGGCAGGTTTTAGATATAGATTTGAAGAGGAATCTGAGGGCATTCCGTAACAATGGTGCAGAGATTTAGTCCGGGGTGCAGTGACCTAAGGTCCAGCCTCAGCCTACAAGGAGCAGTGCTTACATGATCCCCTGGCTTCTTTCAAGAAGTTCCTCCGGTCCATTAGCTGCTAAAAGGGAACGAGAGGGGCAGATGGGCCCCGTCTCATCTGTAACCTTTCTTGTGTTCTTATGTGAAAGATGTCGTTGTCACCTAGCTGTGGTTGGGAAAACGTGTTGACGACCAGCAGGCAGTGTCCCAGTCACCTACCTCTCTTCACGCACAGTTGTGAGGGGTGCTTGCTTGGACATGTAGGAATGACAGAAAGAGGAAGACCAGAGACAGAAATGAAAGTCTCAAACTACAGAGGGCGATGCTGCTGTTGCAGATAGGGGATCTCAGACTGCAGAAGCAAAGACTTTATTCAAGATGACCTTCCACCTGCGCAACAGCAGTTTTTTTTCCTACTATTGTAATTCATCTTTCCATGAGTTAAAAAAATGCATAAATATACCTTCATTATTCAACATTATTACACCAATAAAATGGCAGATGTCTCAAATATAATTACTATACTATTTACTGTCATCCTGAATTGCACGTATTATTTCCACGTACTTTTTTCCAAAAGAGTATTTAAAAAAAAAAAACATGCACATGGTTTTATTCTTGCTTTAGAAATCGCTTTCATTTATCAACTGAATGTAAACTGTGATTCAAGAGCATTTACTTTATTTTATTATGTTATTCTTTGTAGAGCTGGTTGTCTGTCGTTTCTAAGATTCATAACAAGTGATTAATTGGAACGGATATACAACTTTACCTCGGAAATGAGTACGAATAACAGCATTAATAAATTATGTGCAGCTTTAAAGGAATTGGGAGACAGCGCCACCTAGTGGACTTTATTAATAACATTAGGCATTAACCAAGCTCAAAGTTCTCCTATTTTTCCAGTTATATAAATGAAATTATTGTCCAAAATGAAAAAACAAAACATTGGTTACAACCACCTCTCGTACGTCGGAAGGCTACTGTTTCAGAGTAGAGTAACAGTAATGTATGAATGGATTGATATATAGGTTAAATGTTATTTTTTTTATTTCACTTACTGCACGCTTGTGAAAGCCAGTTCCGATAGATCTTTCAGGTGTGTTCACACTTTATAAATTGTTGTACGCTAACCCCTATTTCCCGCACATTTGAAGAATTGAGAATTATAATTAATATTCATGTTAAAAACATGCAGGTTTCAACTATGGTTAACAAACACGTTTCTGGTTCCCTCCCAAAACTATTGTAACAGCTCAACATGATTTAGTGTTGAGCAGTTGTGTGCCATATGCCATTAAAAGCACAAATTTAGAAAGGCGTCAGACCGCATTCTTCTTTCTCACACCTACATACTGTTAAACCATGCTTTCGTGATTCCTATTTCTCTGACAGAGCTTGCTTCTGTTTAATTGGTTTAAAAGCCTCGTACGTGTCAGCGAAAACACGTCGATGCCCGCTCTGTTAAGACACGTTTCGCTCTCGAAACGAGTAATACGTATTTTCGTTACAAAAAAAACGCCAGGTAGATACAGCTCGTCACACTGCAGCTTGGTCTCTCCAGGTGATGTGAGTTGCAATGGATTCAGAAACCTGCAGCTTGTAGTGAAATCGCCGAGCAAGAGCACTTCTGTACTTTTTAGTCTGCTTCACTGCAGTTTAACCGCAGGAACCCATTTGCTAGCAAGGCCGTGGTTCTTAGATGTTGAAAATATGTTGTTTCGTGAAGCACAATCTGAAAGAGGAGGTGCAACAATTTTACAGCGAGCAAAAATAAATAAATAAAATGTGACACAAGCAGATGAGATATTTGGCACTGCTAGCACCATATGGAGGCAGCGAGTGTTCAAGTCTTGCTCTTGCATATTATCAGTCTCTTTGAAGTCCTGGATTCTACACAAACCAGGAGCCTCCAATCCTATAAAATACTGGTGCGTCTCTTAAAAGCAATAGGAGCACGGGAAGCAGTTAAATACCCATAATTCTTCAGTCGAGCTGGTTTCTCTCTCCTGCAAACCAGTCTACATTATCCTGGCGATAAGGGAGGGAAGCGTTTTCCGTTTGCACTCAAAAAGACTTCATATGGGTATCCTGCTTTTTGTAAGTGTGCAAACGACCTGCTGCTTAATGAAATAAATTGTCATAGAGATGGAGTGCTTCAGAGTGCTCCGACAGGACAGAGGAAGACACATTTTGGCAGCACATCAGGTTGGCGCGGTGCATAAAGTCATTAAGCACATGGAGTGACCCCCAAGAAAATAAATCTTAACTTTATTAAATGCTCCCTGCCTGGAGGTACTGTATGACCAAGCGCTATATATAAATGCCCCTGACCCATTTTGTCAATTAATTAGCTTAGTCATAGTCTGCTGACATCATCTTTGGGAGAAATCTTTAGACACAAGTCCTGACTAAAGTGGTTTGCTGTCCCCCAAATGAGATTCTTACCTAATCTATCCTTTAACAGCATTGCCGGAGCTGTCGCACATCGGTCTCACTACATGACAGAGACGACCAACATTGAATGCTGATTCTGAAACAGCTCTGAAACGATTTTATTCGGCTTTATAAAAATAGATTTTTTTCAATATTATAGTGACTCCTTTTAAATTGTGCCCTGGATTTCAAACATAATAGATGAAACTGGCTGTAGA